AGTCATGGATCGATAGACCTGCATTTGTAGGGATCGGCGATCCATCCCACTTGTCACCCTTCCAGGAAAAGAAGAGTTTGAGTGGCAGGGTTATCTCTTGCGATGAATACTCCCCTTGCGTGCAACGGTTCCTAGAGAAATTCCATCGACCGCTTCCCTCTCTTATTGCTTTTTAACTCCCCTTCGAAGGAGAGCGCTTAGACTACAGATGAAGGGCAAATGGGCCCAAGATCCGAGAAAGGGGACGACACTGATTTGCCGATTGCTACCGTGCTTATGTCCCTTGGAGTGCAGAGACTCGCAAATGTCCTTTTCCTTTGTCTTGCCGTGGCTGCTGATTGGCCACAGCTAACTCTCGATTGATTAATATGCCTGAACATTGCCAGTCAAGGAAGAAAATAGGCTCGATCGGACGTGAGAAGATCCACACCATCCACACCTGCCATTCTCCTTGGTCGAGTAAAAACTGCGAACTGCAACTATCACTACAGCAGTCACTCCCGAAGCAGATAGTCTGACCAAAGAAAAGAGAAGGTCTCGATTACCGACAACGACCTGTCATTGAGGCGCCAAATAGAGAAATCAATTGCTCATCGGCCTGGACCCAGCACGGACGGGGACGCTCGCAAGGGAAGATCCCCCCTGTCAGTGCTACTTCCTTCTTTGTGTTCTTTTTCCTTTTCTTGCTTGATTGCTTCACATTCTTTCTCCGTGCCGTTTCCCATTCGGTCCATCACCGCATTAGGGCTCCGCTAGCAGACTATGTAGCTATCCTTGCTAGTTGCTGCCGCCATTTTCAAGACCCTCCCCCTCTCTTGGGCCTGAACATCCTGGCTTGTTGCCAATATGGGTCGCCTAGATTCAACTCTATCGCTCGAGCTATCAAGAACGAGCCATTGGGCAATGAACCGGCCCTGCATACCGTCGGTTAGTCACACCTTAAGAAGGATCCCCGGCGAGGTAAGGGTATGACAGCTCGAATCTCAACCGGACCTCTTAAACGCGAGATATCCTCTCGCAGATATCCCTCCCCCTTGGGTCAATCTTGCATTTGTCCATTAATTCTCGTACCGGCTACTTTCCCGCAGACAATCTGGCACTGAATCTTTGCATACGTCATTTTGTCAATGCTACCTAACCCATATCAGACCCAAGTGCGGCTCGCATCTTCGCTTTCATGCCTTCATCGGCCGCTAAACACACCAAACAAGCATTGAAAATTAAGAGAAAAATTGCGAACGCGTCTAGGGCTAGAGTAAGTCTCAACACCGCTTGGGTGAATATATCCTTGTACGACAGGTTCGCGAAGCTTTTCACCGCTATTCATGTTGACCTCTTTCTGCTTATCCCAGTCGATTTTTGAACCCAACTGGACCATTGAGATCCGGCAAGCTTCCCTATGCATCAGTGGACCGAACCGCGTGAAGGCACAGTCGCGCCTAGTCCAGTCGTGCCAACTTGTCGGCACAGCTCGTCCTTATCAAGGGACAAATCCCACATGTCAACTCTTCCATCCCAAACACAATATTTGGCTACTGCTGAAAACGATCGACCGCGACAAGGTCCAGAGGTGCAGATGACGAACGAGGATATCACTGAGCTCGATCGCTTCCTTCAATCACCTTCGACAACTCCCGCTTCGCAAGTTACGGGAGCGCGCGAACTCCTAAAGGCCGGCCAGCGGCGTCTTCGGCAGCTGGCGCAGCTTCAGTGGAAACCAATGGACCCCAAGATCAAAGCCGAAGAGGCTTCCCGTCATCTCCTTGTCCTCCAGCAAGAGGGGTTTCTCAGTTTGCCAGCTTCAGCTGCAAAGAAAAGCCTTGACTCGGCGATGTCGGGCTCGAGATCCGCGTCAAACTTTAGCTTCCGATCCAGCTCTCAGCGAGACATTGAAAAGATTGGCCAGCCATGGCTTGAAAATCCGCTCGAAGTGTCCGTTACGCAACACATCAAAAGCCCCGAGCCGTCGCCACTAGATCTCGGCAATTTAACGTCCATGGTTGAGGCGGCAGTGTCTTTTCCATTTCACTTTGATGACGCTTACCCACCGCCATACCAGCCGCCGGAGAACACCAACAGCGACCAGCGGATCGAAGGCCAGGATTCTCGTCACCTCCACAGTGCAGCTTGTCAGCTTAAGCCCAAGGAACGGCGTATGGAAGATCAAGGTGCTCCATCAGCAGTGAACACTAGACAGGTTCCCACGGACGGGAAAGGTCATATCCCTCCCACCGTAATTCCGAGAAACGGGGTAGCGTGTGATGACTCAAAAGATGGCAAATCCCAGGTAAGTGCATTGAGCAGACTTATATGCATATAGAAGCTCTCGTGGTAGATGCTGACAAATGCATGGGTAGGCTCTGGATTCCGATGAAGCTCAGAACAACTCTGCACAATTACTGAAACCCCCGGCGTCAAGAGCAAAAGCTGGTCCTAGAGATCCGCCAAATCCTGTCGCTCAGTCGTTGAAGCTCTTCCCTGACACAATGCCTCCTCGTGTTCCAAGCAAGGGAGCTTGGCGCATCCCCAACAATCGAATAGCAGGCAAAGATGCGCCAATTTCTGCCAAATCCTCCGACAGGCAGCAGATTCCTGCTCCTGTCGCTTCGAAAAGAAAGACTGACAACGTCAGAAACTCGGCCAAAGGTTCTTCGGAATGTCAGGGCGAGCCTCGAAGATCATACCACTCAGGCAAGGCGTCGACAACACGGCCGGGGAAACCCTGTAGCGAACCGGCAATAAGTCCAATACATCCAGGATTTCCACAGTTGAAGAATACACGTCGCCCTGCATCGTTACCAACGGGCACCATAGACTCATTCCCTCTGCCAGCTCCCATGAGACCTCTACCATCACTGCCCGAACGGCCTCCTGCTCTCAGCACTGTTCGCCACCATAGCACCCCGGTCAGCAAAGCAGCAACTCGGATGAATCGCGACCACTCGGACGCCTTTCCAACCACCACATCTAAGAACCGCTTAGACGCCGAACACTGTCGCTCGGATACACAATCTGCGCTCCCTCAGTTGAGCTTGGTTTGGGAAGACTCGCCCGCCAGCGAGCAGGGTAAGTCTGTCGAGGAGACACCGCCCAATTATCCGGAATCTTCTGGGAAAGTGGAACAAAATCGGGCGGAGAGGGTGCGTTCACTCAAGTTCAGAGACATGATGGCAAGCCGTATCAGCCTCGACGCGCCAGAAACTCCTCGTGAGGCGAGAAAGGGCGATGGAATCAATACGCCAGCATCTCTAATGAGCTCCGGGTCCAGCCATGAATTGCGAACTGGCGACGAAAACGGACCTCGAGTAAGCACATCAGTCCGAAAGGAAGCAACTCCATCCGCTCCTTTGTCGCCTCCTCTTTCCCCACCTCCCGCTCCACCACTTGTGAAGTCTGCTGAACAACTGCCGTTCAGCAGGCGGCACGGCAGCTCGGCCACAGCTATCATGAGAGCATCGACAGAGAGGAGAGAGCCATCTCTTCCCGCTTCCGACCGAAGCGCTACGTTGCTCCAAAATAAGAGGACGCGGAGCATTGATGTCCTTCAGGAATTGGTGGCTAGAGAACAGAACACTTCGAACCGAGCCGGGTCTCCGCTCCCTTCTTCGGATGATGAGTGCATGGATAAGGGTACATTCATGTATGAGCTACGCCGAGACTCCAGCCGATATCAACGAACGAAGGTAGCCTCAAGAAAGTCGAGCAATCTTTGTCTGAGCCGACAGCGTGGTCCGAGGAAGACCGGATTCTCAGATCATGCCGGGCCCTTGACGCCGCGAAGGCAAAGAAGCCGCCTTTCGGAGGAGACGTCTTCATCATCGCTAGGCTCATCGAATCCGTACCATTCTCACGACCCTCGCGATAGGCGTGACAAAGCTTCCCACGCTCTCGATTCTCTTGAAGGGCGCATTGAACAGCTGGAGCGCCAGAACCGGATCCTTCAGGCGGCCCTTTTCGCAGCTTTGGATGTGGGTGTCAAGCCCAATGCGGAAGCCCTGTTTGGGGGTTCAACGACATCGCTGTCCGCCTCCGCAAATTCTTCAAGTGCGGAAACGTCTTCTCCATCCTCGACGGATCGATCTTCCAAACTGCGTGGTCGCACAGTAGCAGATGGAAGACGATCACGCATGAAGAAATCCCTTCGTCGCCCGGAAAGCTGGATTGACAGCCCTGGCTCCAGTCTGCGGAGCGATTATCAAAGTGATGACGGGGTCAGTGTCCGAGACCTTGAGGACATGATCGAAGACCTTGAATTCACTTGCTCATCGGACAAGCCAGGTTCCAATAGGGTGCGGAATGGCCGCATTTAAGCATTTCATTTAGCTTTTGTTTTTTCGTCTGCCCAGAAGGTTTCCTTTTAGTTGCACAGTCACTTGCATGCGTTTCCTTTGTTACTTGGTGGTTCAACTCGGGCCTTCGCCTCAACTAACTTGATATGCAGTCCAGAAATTGCGCTTGTTTCAGACTCCCCTAGACTGCCTTTTGAATTCTTACTTGCCTTGCCACTTTATTCCTCCTTGCTTGTTACTATTGCACCGCAGTGATACCATTTTGTTTTGTCTTGACGCGTCCATAAGTCACTTTGCTTTCAATTGCCATTAAATTCCCAAATTGAATATGACTTGGATATTTTCTTGGCAGTTCGCAATCGTAATATTAATCAAGCTATCGTAATGACAATCGAGCACCAGATAAACCCCCTTGGGGCATATATAATGTAGAAACGTTAGATTGTTCTGCCCAATCCTGCTTAGTCATCCGAGACCTATTTTGATGCCGATGGTATTGACCAGACTGCGAGTCGAGTAGCTTCAAGTCTCAACAACAAACACGAATTGGCAGTCCTTAATCAATTGACGACCTCTGAGCTGGCAGGTTGCTATCAAGGTCAGGTGGAAGCAAGAAACCGCACGGATCCAACGCAACCACCATCGCCTTTCTTTTCCTCCCCCACCCAAACAAACCCGATTCATTCCTATCCCCTCGTCATTCATTCGAAAATGGCACACGCACCAGCAGTAGGATACTCCCTGTCTATGATCAAGCCACATACTCAACGTTCTAAAACTGATTAACGGTTACTTAGACCACCCAAATCCCACAACATGTCACAGCTCTCCTTTCACATCTTACATCACGCCCCGGCGTACAATCCACCTTCATCCTTTCCCGCAAAGACGGATCCATAATCCAAAGCACCGGACTCCTCGCCTCACCACCGCCGAGAAATAGCACGACAAGCGCAACACAGACACCGCCAGCAACGGACGACGCGAACAGTACTACTACCCCTCCTACGGAGTCATTGGATCCTTCTTCGCCCGCTGGCGCAAGCACAGTCCGAACCCCTACCGCACAGAAACCATACCAGCCGTCTCAGGCGGAAGCTCTCGCGGCGCGGATCTTTGCTTTCGTGTCGAGTGCGTCGGAGCTGGGGATGACGCTGTCGTGTCCGCGCGCGGAGGATAGGGATAGCTATCAAACTGGGTTGAACGGAGATGGCGCGGGGAGAGACGATGCGAGGTCGGAGGGTGTGGACAGGGAGGAGGACGATGAGGTTAAGCTGCTCCGGCTGAGGACTAAGAAGCATGAGATCGTGGTCGTGCCGGATAGGAAGTATCTTCTGTGTGTGGTGCATGATGCTGCGCATGCGTCAGGGGGTTCGGGGGTTGCGGGGGGGCGCTCTAGGTGATGGTTTGCTAGCAGGGGATCTGGCGTTGATGGCTTTGATTCTTTGGTCTTGTCTTACAGGTCGGTTATAATTTCATTGCCGGTGTTTCTTGCAGTTCGTTGGTTCCCGGGCTCTTGTTTTGTTGCATAACTATACCCCTGTTGGAAGCAATGCATTTTACTTGCATATTTAGATCTTTTTGTCGAAGATTGAGGATCTTGCACTGAGTGGACTAGGTGCTACGGCAGTACCGCGCTATGGACTTACTATGATCTGGTTATTTGGTGCCATCGGCTATGCGGCGGGGTGTTACCCCTCTCGCAGAAGCTACTGACGGAGTTTCATCAGCTTATCAACGGTGACTGGATCTGATTCTGCTTGTATCCAGTTTCGTCTATCGATTGGCCTTCAGAAATTAGCAGAAATGGCTTCAGAATTTGATATTGCACAGGTTAGGACTCGTTTTCCCGCTTTGAATGCAGAGCAGGTGTTCCTCGACAATGCAGGTTTGTTTTGACTCGATCTTGTCTTGTGAGCGAGCGAGTGGCTGATCAGAATGCCGTTGACAGGAGGCAGTCAGGTTTTGGACACTGTGATCGAATCGTGAGTCATCTGGAATTTCGCTTGAAGCCGGTCTGATGCCCAGGGAAGGATTACATCCTACCTCTCTACCACCAATGTTCAATTGGGAGCGACGTATGGCATATCTCGGGCAGCCACCACTGCATTTTCTAAGGGCTACGAGGCGGCGGCAGAGTTTATCAATGCGAGTCCTGATGAGGTGTGGTCTTTGACCCTGGTAGCGCCGGCTTGCTCTGACCCCATTACTTCAGATCTGCCTGGGTATATCAACGACTCAGCTCTTGCACAACCTTTCGACCGGGCTCAAGTTCGAACCTGGCGATGAGCTGGTGCTCTCGAAGCTGAACCACGAAGCCAATACGGCCCCCTGGGTCCGGATCGCCGGACGACTGGGCTTGCAGGTGAAGTGGTGGTCGGCATCGGATCCCAGAAACCCTGTTTGTGATCTGGATGAGCTGGGCCAATTGCTCTCGGAGAAGACGAGGCTCGTTGCTTGCCCACATGCTTCGAATATCACGGGAACAATCACGAAGGTCAAGGAGATTGCGAAGCTCGTTCATCAGTATCCACGTGTGAGTGTTTTGGTGGCTTTTTCTTGCCATTGCTGATATGCTTCTTTCGTTAGGCTCTCCTCTGTGTGGATGGGGTTGCGCTTGCGCCGCATCGTCAGGTAGATGTGAAGGATCTTGATGTCGATATTTATGTAAGTTGTTGGTGAAGGTAGCTCCAGCGGAAGATTGCTCAGTCCTTTCCACCAGGCGTTCTCATGGTACAAAGTCTACGGGCCGCACATTGCTCAACTATACGCCTCATCCCGGATTCAGGATCAGATTAACAGTCTTGGCCATTTCTTCAAAGGCACAGACACGTTGGACCTGAAGCTCAATCTAGCATCCGCGAGCTACGAAGCGACACAGAGTATTCCTGCGGTGCCTGAATACCTTGGATTCAATCCCGCAGCTACATGGGACAAGATCGCCTCTCATGAAGAGAAACTACAAGCGATACTGCTGGACTATCTCAGAAGCCAGGATCAGATTACGATCTGTGGAGAACCGTCATCAAGCAAAGAGCTTCGCGTTCCGGTAATCAGTTTCACGGTGCAAGGCATCAAGAGCCAAAAGGTTGTCGAAGAAGTCGAGCGGCGGACGCAGTTTTGTTTTCGCCATGGACATATGTACAGCCACCGACTGTTGAACGATGTCGTGGGTTTGGAGGATGTCGAAGATGGCGTCGTACGGATCAGCATGTTGCATTACAATACTGGTGAGTCTGCACCTGGAAGTCTGTGGGGGGCTTGCTGACGGACATCAGAGGAAGAAATTACCCTCCTGGTCGAGAGCTTGAAAGAAATCATTGGCGCTCTGGTATGCGCTAGATCATAATCGAGTAATAATCTCCATGCACCATATGAACGTTTATGGTCTGCTCACATGCTGCATAGTGGACAATAGAAATATGGCTCCCGTGTACCTTCTATGTCCGCGTAGGTGGACGACGATCAAACTCAATAGATGCCGATTCCTTGCTCCTACTGTATTTTGTGGCCTGTAGCATTTTGGTCGAACAAGAGATGTCAAGCTGCATGACAGTTGGTCCAATGAAGCTGTGTGCCTAAAGTACCGACCTTTCATTCAAGGTTCTCATCCGGAGTAGCAATCAACAAGTACATACACGTGCATGCGTCTCTATGCATGAGTCCCAATCAGTGCTGTACCTACTGTACTTCCTTCCCCTCGAACAAATCTAGGCCATCTGATTGAGCGAAATTCGGCCGTGAGTTTAGGTTTCTTGCCGGCTACTAGATAGATACAGGCTTTTGGAGTTCTCGCTTCGGGACTTTGTTGTTCTGCTACGGATATATCTGGCGTGGTGGACTTGATTGTGAATATATATTCGTTGTATCGAGGACTGTAGCGCGGACCTTGTGAATGTTGAGGGATTATTAAGCTTTCTCCCTTCTGAAGTTGATTTACCTGTTTATGATACATTCACCGAGGAGCTTGAGCTATCTATTATTTGAATTTAGTAGTAAGATCCGCACTGGATACCCCAGAGTAATCCTCCATACTCATTGTGTCGTCCAGGCCATTGACGCGAATCTCTCGCAGTCTCGCCATCTACACTGGAGACCAACTCAGAAACGCAGTCTAACCGCTCCTGGCAGGTACGCCCGTTCTCCACCAACCAATCGAGGCAAAATGAATTCGTCGCCAGAAAATGCTCCGAGTGGGATTGGATGCTGCCTCAGGCTTCCAGCCCCCTCCCCGATGGGCTCTGTTTTCGGGGCGGCGCTAAGCCATACTGGGGATAAGGTGTGGGAGACGGTGGCGAAGACGATGACGGTATGAGTCACGACGCAGCGGATTGAGGCACAGTACTTGATCTCTAGACTATTTTGAGATTTGCGAGGTGGGCTTAGGATGAGGAGATGCTATTATTATTGCATCTATTGAACCTCTATCACTATTATGCTCAGCCTTGCGCAGCATGACATATCTGGTTGTCTAAGTATTGATCTGGATCTGGGACTGGAGATCGCGCGGAGGATTGTTAGTTTGATGGGTACAGTGTCTACCTTACTCTTGTTTTGGATCTGCATGATCGGGTGGTGAATCTTTAGCCAGATTTCTGTCATTAATTAATTTTAACCTGTTGTGTCAGTTGTTGTGGTACAACAGCCTCTTGCACTACTCATGTACCTCCCCGTGACTTATCCACTCTGTGTTGCCCACTTTGCGATAGTCGAGTAATCGAGGATAGAATGGCGAACAACAGGCAGAGATGAGCTGCCTATTTCGAAACAGATAATATTGTGGTTGTCAGCTCAGGTGATCAATCCTTAAGCGCGACAAGGTCATAATATTCGTTACTCATGATGGTGGAGAGGAAGAATTCTTGTGCTCCAGTGGTGGTTTTCTGCTGCCTGGAGTATTTATCCATGATGGTTCCACAAGTACAGTTGGCATGTCATCTCTGCTCCATACTACTCTGTTATCTAACAAATCCAACAAGCATACAATATTCCATCCGTAGAGAGGCACGAGTAGGAAGGCAGGAGTGCTCATGATCATCGTGGCTCAAGACGAAGGGAGACAAAGAAGTATCATTCTTGCCTTCTGCCTCGTTATTTTTCGCCGAGAGACAAACCATGGACCTATGCAGGATGTGTCACTGCCTTTGGGAGCAGCACCAGATTCTGAGCGAAAGGTGGCGTGGGCTGGGAGCAAATACCGCCCGGGTGGTTGGTTGGCTGACCACCAACAACTCTGGACCCGTTGTTGAAGGAGCAGCGGAATCAACCCGGATAGGAAATCTTATTACCCTTACTCCTGAGTCCGTACTCGCCGGCCCGTCAGAGGAGCCAGTCATGCAGTTTGTGGCACACCGGGTTTAGTTAGCAGCGAGGTTTATCCCATGGTGGCCTATAGTGATGATTCATTTCGCCTTAATGTTGCATGGTTAGAAAGAAACGTGGAGGAACTTATTCGAATCCTGTCATTCACCTAGCCGATATCGCGAATTCGTGATATCCTGACGACACTCTTGCCAGCAAACGACTCCATAGACTAGTGGTAGTTGAAATCGTAAGTTCATATTAATGTTCATTATAATGGTCATAAGGATATTCATTATAGATCCACTGTACGGACTAGATTTAGCCCCTACAGAGTAAGTATCTAGATGATCATCTATCGCTGCTAGTCTTTGATAGAAAATAATATGATTTCAAGCGATCAAGGTGTTGAAAATGAACAGTCTTTATCTATTTATATAATTCTAGAGAGGTTATATAATTATAGAGAGGTATACAAGCTGGACACTACCTTGAAGAAGCGCCGAGTGAACTTGAGGGCCTTGTGAGGGGAACTAGTCGTGTCTTAGGTAGAATCCTAGAGTATTCATCTATTTCAGAGTACGGAGTATAGAACATTAAATTCTCAACTTCGTTAAGATATATCAAAAGATACCAGAGCATATTAGGATATTTGACAGTAGAGTTGTCGAGTATCTCCTATTCTCCGTAACGGTGGACCAAATACCACAGAGCATCCCCTATCTCGGAAGCTGGCTGAGGAGTCATACATACATCCGCATCCGTCCAGCCCAGTCCCGATCGCGCCCTGATTACCTTAACAACTGTCAAGTCGCCCGCTTTCTGTCTATCTGCTCCTACTACTACTGACTACTCTCTCGCAAGACGGAGTGAAGACGTCCCTTCCTCCTTCTGTTAGAGTTCTGCTGTTCTGCTCCTTTTGAGCTATTCTTCTGTTACTCATCTTTTTATTGCTTGTATCAGTACTATCTACTTACTCTCCGCTCATTTCTCGTTTTTCGCCTTCGTTGGCAAAAAAAGAAGCGTGGTCCCTGCGTCTGCTCTTTGACTCCCTCCACCCCCGAAATTCCGCCACCTGAGTGTCTTGCCACAGGTACAGACT